CCCTACACAGCAGGCAGCACGAGGTTGGCAAGCCAATACTCATCCCCATCACATCCCAAAGCCTCTTTAAACCCTACTTCCCTAAATGGTTTGGCCTGAGCCCCATGCTCATCTTGCACAAATAATTATGCCCATGGTCATCATGTCCAGTCATACTGCCCTCCTTCCTGTCCTAACATGATGGGGCCTTTCCTGTCCCTGACCATCATACTTTCATTGGGTTGGTTTCTCTTTCTCAGGCCTGTGGTCTCAGCTCATGTCACCTCAGAGAGATGTATGCTGATGACTGTGTCTAAAGTGGCTTCATGCCCCTGTTTATTTTTATCTCACCAAAGAGTTTATTTCTTTCATTGCGTTCAACACAAGCCTACCCTTCTGCCCTTAAAATGTAAGATTCAGTGTCTGGAAGTGTTGACCTGCATCGCCAACACTTAGGGACTTCCCAGGTGCTCACAAAATACCTGTTAAATGAAAAAACACAGATCTTTCCTTCTCAGAGTTTCTACAGTGAATGCACACTCCTTTTGTAACACAAACTCTCAATATACAGAGGCTGTTTTCCCAAGTGGAGAGCATGGTGCCAGAGTCAGAGAACTCTGGAGAACACTAAACAACTCCCTTTAGATTCCTAGCCCTGAAGGAGCATGGTACCTGCAGAGGTTCACTGCCTCCTAAACAGATCTGTTCCAGCCTGGCATGGATGTGCCTGGTAGAAAAGGCTTTCTCAGCTGATGCTCTGCCTCTCCTCCTTTGGCCCCAATCCTCCATATGCCCACAGGATACACAGAGCTTCCAGTTCTGCTTCTCCAGACAGTCTTCAGATGCATGTCCCCAGCTCCACTCCAAGCTCATGCACCCTCCCTCTCTCAACGATATCCCAGGGAGTCTACTACCCTGGTCACTTTGCCCCATGCAATTCCATTTTGTCTAAAACCCTCTTGAAAGGGCAACAGCGTCTATGCTGTGACTTCTGAGATCTAAGCACACATGGGCACAGGACACTCCTGGATCTGCACTCAGTTGTCCACAAATAAGGCCGGTGTGGCCTCAGCAACCCAGTATCCACACTGGGCTTCTGCTAATGCAAAGCTGCCCTTTTCACAAGTGGCCTTAATTTACACACTGAGATGGCTGCATCAGCCCCTCTCACTCCTTTTGTTGGTTTCACCTATTTCCATGTCACCTTTCATTACATTAGCTCAGGGTTTCTCAACCTTGGCGCGCATGACATTTGGGCTGGATCATTCTTTGTTGTCCATTATCAGCAGTTTAGCAGCATCCCTGGCCTCCATCCACTAAAGCCAGTACCACCCCCAATCCTCAAT